CAGAATTCCATCCTTTCTGTATTATTAGAATTTAGGGATGAGCAAATGAGCCTGGGATCAGTTCATGGGTCATTGTAAACTCTGAAAATTGCAAACTTAATCCAAACCCCACTAAGGGTGGTGAATGCTAAAAATCAGTTCTTACCATTTTCAATGATAATAGGCAAGGGACTGTATAACAAAGGGCATGGGGAGCTGGGCACCATGTACCAATGCCAAAAAAAAGGACTTTCTTCTTTATGCAACTTTGAGGACCACAGGGAAAATCACCAATCCTTTCAATTACCTGCTTGGAAGATGTGGTGTTACAGAACTGTACAACTCTTACAGATAGTATCAGAGATACTGTATTATGGCATTACATATTTTGCATGTGTAATACATTTACTTGTACAGTTGTTTTTTTGGCTTAAACACAGCATTGGCAGCACTCTAAATTATTACAACTTAAAAAAAATAATGGGACACACTTGAAGTGCAGAGAGAGAGCTCGGAATGTGGATGTTTATTGAGGAACTGGGGTATGAGGGGGATGGCTTTAGGACACAGCATAGGAAGACAGTCCATGGAAAAGCAATGGGCAGAGCATGAATAAACAGTGAATATGTAGCTAAATGGCCCAGAAAATTATCTTCAGAGCAGTAATAGGCACAGCAAGAGGAGGTGATTCACAGGGCAGTAGAATGGCACAACAAGGGTTAAGTGTCCATGAAGGAGAAATATGGCACAGCAAAAGGAAAACAGTTCACAGCGCAACACTATGGCATGACAATGGGAAATGATCCTCAGAATGGTAAAATGATCCTCAGAATGGTAATAAAATAGCAAGGGGAGATGATCTTCAGAGGAAGTAATAGGCACAGCAAGGAGAGGAGATCCTCAGGGCAGTAGGATGGCACAAGGATAAGTGTCATGGACAGCAAAAGGGAAGCAGTCCACAGGGCACAATAAGACAAGTGGTCCAAAGACTCATGCTGTGGATGCTGTATGGCCCCAGGCTGCTTTTTAGGTGGTCTATGTGACAGATGAGTGATTCAGAAAGGTCTGTAGAGGCAGGTCCCTGGGTAGGTGTCTCCTGGATCTGGAGCAAGAGGAGCACTTGGCACCCTGGCCATGGATCAGCAGCCAAGGAGAGCAGAGGGCATAAAACAGAGAGGTGACTGGGTAATGTGAGTCAGAGGCAGCTCCTGGGTGCCCAATCTCAGTTTGGAGTCTTCACAGACGTATGTAACATCCAGGGTGATTTGCAAAAGAATAAATAATTGGGTTCCCCAGACCAGGAAGATATACCTGAGCTGGGGAGTGAACTTGTGGTCCAAAAGTATCAGATTGCCTAGGCAACAGTCCCCGTCCCTTCCCACATGGCCACATCAGGTGCTTGGCTGAGGGAAAGCTGTTTGTCTCAAGCTGGGCAAAAGCACAGGAAGAGGAGTGTGCCGTGCCCACTAAATCCTATTTTTAGGTTATTTTTCATGCAACACCTAATATTTTTTCCAATAAAGGGGTTGAATTGACTGGTCGAAGTATCAGCCAAAATAGATCTAAATGCTGAAGAAAAGTTTACTCTTGAAAACAATAAAGCTAAACCCCTCAACTTTATACCAATTGGGCAATGGCAAAATAAGTTCATAGTATAAATAGTGAGCTCTTTTTATCATAGTGATACACTATATTTTGATTTGGCTATGTTTATGCAATGCAACCCTTCCCATATAATCTATCAAAAATCCATAACCTTCTTTTTCCTCCTTCTCCTCAAGGGAGCATAGTAGCCTTTCTGTGTGCTTGCTATTGCACATTTTTCCTCCTTCTGAAGGATACATACCTTTCTCCTCCTCCAGGGTTCATAGCAGCTATGTTTTTTGGCCTGCTAATGCACCCATTAGCACCATGAGGACAGAAAAGTTACAGTGTCTAGATGGTACACTAGGGGATTGACAAGACAATATTGAGGTCCAAGCAGGGGTCTAGGCAGGCCCTCTACTTGTACACTCCATCTGACCTAGTACACACTATACTTGAGCCACTGTTTACCTGGCTTTGCAGCCAAAATTATGACTGCTTTAATCTTTAAATGTTCATAGCTAATTGCTTTTCGGTTCACACTCTGTGGAGAACACTGATTTCCTCCTATATAAAATAAGTATACAGCGCTAATGTGAGTAAAATCAAGTAAAGAAACAAATAAATAAATATTGCACAATATCATATGTTTAAATATGATTTCCTCCTACTCATTATCCTGACAGCGTATATTGTCGTCCTGGACTTCCAGCAGAAGCAGGACAGCCCTGGAACTGTCGAGAGCAGAAAAGGGTCTGGAGGGGGGCTGCACCCTGCACATTCTGTAAAAGTTATTGGGCAGCGCTATACCTGCCCAGTCTGGGAAGAAAAAAAGACCAGGATACAGGGCATAAGACAATATGGTTAAGTGGTTAAGAGATTAAAATTAAAGTTACTTATTTCACATAATCCAGAAATGCACACTATGTAAGCAGCTTTAGTAAGCAGCAGTCCACTTTTAATCAAGAAGTCAAAATTGTAGTGTAATATTTCACTGAAAAAAGGCAGCTCATGCACACTACGTGGGGTGCTTTAATATGCCACAGCTGTACAGGGAGAAAACAGGCAGGTTTATAATCAGGAAATCATAATTAGAGTGTTTTTATTACACAGGAAATAAAGCCAGAAATATTGCACAGAGTCCATGTATAATCTAGTAAAGAGTTTTATAAAATTACTACTAGAAAGGAAAGCACAGGATTATTAATAGGTTCATATACGCAAACGAAGGTCAGGAGGGTAAATAAGCTGAATATTATTTAAGGTCTCATTCACATGGGTGTACAGTCTGTCAGCACCCGGATCCGTGCATTGGACCTGCGTGAACATGCACTCTGTGCATGAAGGTTCCTGCAGGTCTGGGCAACCAGTTACTTGTGTGTGTATCCCGGTCGACTGAAGATGGTTCTTAGTACAGGCATACAGATTAGTACGTCCCTGTGAATGAAATCTTAAAAGAACAAAAAAGGAGTTAATTTATATGCATACATTTTAACTGCAGTAGATTTTTTTTTAGAAGTTACAGTATTTTTTTTTTATAGAATTAGGTTATTCAGTAGCATTTTGCTATTCAAATGGTTACTTTTTTCAATACACGTATGTTTTTAGGATTGTTCTGTCAAAGTTGTATATGCATGTTTAACCCTCATTTTAACATGCCATCCTTCATCACCTGACATGTAAACAGTTTTCTGTGATCCTACACTTGTTGTCCTGCTCTGCTCCAAGATATACACCTGTACGTTACAATATAGCTTTACAGGCTATAAAGATGTCACCATGAATTACTACTTTGTAATTCAATATGTAGCAGCTACAAATATGTAGTTTGTATCTGAAACAAATGTATAAGCTTCTTATTACACAATTTCTAAACAGTCACTGTTACTTACAATATTTAATTTAAACATTTTCTTTAAATACAGAATTATTATTGGCATATTTAATGGCAGCTATTTTCATGTTTGTATTTAATTTACTGGAATAAAACCTGTCAAGTCATTTGTTACCTATCACAACCAAGGCTCAATCCATAACTTTAGCTATAGCTGACAATGTGACTGTTGTGGCACCCAGAAGCACAAGGGGCCCACACCTGCTTGGCTGCACAGTGATTTAGGACGGGGACAATTAGCATTTGTAAAATAAAGATAAAATAAATACCTGTTTAGTTCAGGAACCTCAGTGATTGCTATGTGTGCAATTAGTACTCTGTATAAATAGCAGAATCACCTTTAGGATGACAACTAGAGAGGCAGGTGTCCTTAACACTTTTATTTGGGACCTCATTATACATAGTTATTGCACTGACTGTTGTAATAGGTGCATGTAGTTGAATCCCCAAAATGGGTAAATCCCCTTCCACCATATATTCACTCCACTTGTTGCATTAAATTATAAAACAAATGAACTATCCAACGAGGACAGGTACTGATTGAGAACCAGAGGAGCACAGATTTAGCTGTTTGAGTCCCCCAAAAATAAAGCCAGTGAATTGCTTGTGTCACCCTTAACTTGGTATATCAAGTTGCCCTTTGAAATAACCTAAACATACAACCCCAGCGTCTTGTGTCTAAGATTGTATTATGGTAGTGTTGTCAGCTATGTCTTCTTTTTATACTCTAAAGTATATCACTTTAATTCTACTTTTATTTCTGCTTTTATCAATTACATAAAAAGACAGAGTAGGTTACTTTGATAAGCTTGAGCTCATAAATATCATCCGCACTCACCTTTTATTCTCTGCTTAGGGCTTTCTCTGTACTATAAATATTCCTAGTCTTGAGTCCTGGAGCTTTTAACCTTTGTTATCTTTGAAATATTTTAACACTAGCCAAAGTCATCCTTGAACAAACTTCTCTTAAGTAAGAATCCCTTGAACTCAGGGAAATGACTGCATATCTCTAATCCATACAGTGTATGCATGAATATAGCAAGACATGCAAAAAAAATATATATTGTTGTAACTGACTTGCTATTTTGATTGTTTAAATGTAACCACAGTTTCATATGATATAGATTAATATTCCTATGTAAAACTGATAAACACACATCTGACTCTTTCTCTCTATACAGTACATATACTGCATATATATACACTGTATTTTTCACTCCATAAGACGCACCTGACCATAAGACGCACCTAGGTTTTAGAGGAGAAAAACAAGAAAAAAAATATTCTGAACCAATGGACTGCAGACACAGTACAGGAAGTGGCCAGACACTGCTGACATACTACAGGAGATGACCAGAGACTGCAGACAGTACAAGAGATGACCAAAGACTGCGGACACAGTACACAGGAGATGACCAGAGACTGCGGACACAGTACAGGAGATGACCAGAGACTGCAGACAGTACAGGAGATGGACCAGAGACTGTGGACATAGTACAGAAGATGACCAGAGACTGCGGACACAGCACAGGAGATGACCAGAGACTGCGGACACAGCACAGGAGATGGACCAGAGACTGCGGACACAGTACAGGAGATGGACCAGAGATTGTGGACACAGTACAGGAGATGGACCAGAGACTGCGGACACAGTACAGAGATGGACCAGAGACTGTGGACACAGTACAGGAGATGGACCAGAGACTGTGGACACAGTACAGGAGATGGACCAGAGACTGTGGACACAGTACAGGAGATGGACCAGAGACTGTGGACACAGTACAGGAGATGGACCAGAGACTGTGGACACAGTACAGGAGATGGACCAGAGACTGTGGACACAGTACAGGAGATGGACCAGAGACTGTGGACACAGTACAGGAGATGGACCAGAGACTGTGGACACAGTACAGGAGATGGACCAGAGACTGTGGACACAGTACAGGAGATGGACCAGAGACTGCGGACATAGTACAGGAGATGACCAGAGACTGCGGACAGTACAGAGATGACCAGAGTCTGTGGACAGTACAGATGACCAGAGACTGCGGACAGTACAGATGACCAGAGACTGTGGACAGTACAGATGACCAGAGACTGTGGACAGTACAGATGACCAGAGACTGCAGACAGTACAGATGACCAGAGACTGCAGACAGTACAGGGGATGACCAGAGACTGCAGAAAGTACAGAGCATGACCAGACACTGCAGACCTTTAGGAGGGAGGGGGGAGCGGGTACCTGAATTTGACACTTCCACTTCCACGGAGCTCTCCTTCCTATACTGTGTGCACCCAGCTTTGACAGCCGGGTGCCCACTGCGCATGCGCGAGAAGCGCTGCGCTTTGTGAATGGCCCCGTCGTCTCCTGGGACCTGTCATGTGTCCCAGAAGACACCGGACCATTCACAAAGCGCAGCGCTTCTCGTGCATGCGCAGTGGGCACCCGGCTGTCACAGATGCCAGGGCGGGAAGAAGTCGGCACGGGAAGACTACAACGCTGGAACGAGAACAGGTGAGTTCCTGCCGCAGAGAACAGCTGAGCGGCTGGCCCGATATTCTGACATGGTGGCGGCGGAAATACCGAACCGGCCGCTTTATATTCGCTCCATAAGATGCACTGACATTTTCCCCCCTTTTTTGGGGGGAAAAAAGTGCTTCTTATGGAGCGAAAAATACGGTATATATATACTGATTGGAAATCCTACCTTTCAATATGTATTAATAAAAATAACATAATAAAATTAAAAAGAATATCTTCAAGGATATTAAAATATATTTTACGTCTGTAAGGTCCTATAAACAGAGTCAGTGTTTATTCTAGTTGCATCTGGATAAAATCCCTTAAATAATTGAACTTCACACCCCTGTTGGTGTTATCTTCTCACAATGTATCTGCAGTGCTTTTGGTGCCCTTTATTTTTAAATATAATATGTTGTGATTGGTTGCAATTAGGTCTCATTCAAATCGGTGCACTAATCCAAAAACCAATGCGAATGACCATTTTCAGGTGTTCTGTGCAGGATTGTGCAGGATTGTGCAGACAGCCTTTTCAAATCAATGACAGGTGGTCAGCTGCATGGACGTGCACAAATCTCCATGCACATCCTGTACATCCATATGGGACTGATGCACAGATCAAATCATAGACTGCGTTCTGATCCTTGTACCAGGATAACACAGATATACATTCTGGGATGCATGGGATGCGGAGATCCATGCAGTTGGGTGCCCCTCATTGATTTAAACAGACTGCCTCCACACACTTGCACAGAACACCTGTGTATTGCATGAGTGTATGGATTGGTAAGCTCATGTGAATGAGGCCTAAAAGCTGTACATTTAAATCACCAGATGCAAAAATATGGTTACTCCTACAAGTAGCTGAATGCAAAAGCAGGCTTTTCCTATTACCTGCACGAAACTTCAACTTATTTTGGTTGGGAAATCTGGTGTTCCTGGTATCTGGTGTTGACACCTGCATAATACAATGCCTCAGGTTTATGAGTGATACCCTGCCAGGCATAACATGTGGCTACATGTTATGCCTGGCAGGGGGGGCACCATAAGGGCCTATGTCAATGGGATTTTGTTTGTATTGGATGGGTTTTGCCTTCCAATACAAATCAATGGATGCAAAACCTCCTTGAAGCAGGTGGAATAGAGATTTAAAGGAGGTTAACTGCAGATAAAATGTACCTGTCAAATAATTTTGAATGATCTCAGAAGAATCATATCCAAGAGAAATATTTAATGAAAGTGATAATTTTTAGTCAACTACTATTTAATAAGGTTATATCTACAGATTTCTTTTGTTTGGCCTTGCCTATAATGGGAAGGTGATTGTAGACTTATTAGTGCAGATGTGGCAAAAACACAACAGAACTCTCAAAAGATTGCTCAGAAAATGACTGGTTAATGTAACAAGCCTAAAGTGATAGTTTTGTTTGTTTTAAAAAAAAAATTATATTTACCGGTACTTGCTCTGTGCAAAGATATTGCACAGTACGGTCTCTTACCTCCTCTTCTGGAGTCCACCACTGGTGCTGCCCACTCTGCCTTCCTTTAACCACTTGCCCTCTTGAGGATTTACCCACCTTCCTGACTAGGCCATTTTTTGCGATACGGTGCTGCGTTATTTTAACTGACAATTGCGCAGTCATGCAAAGCTGCACCCAAAAAAATGTACGTCCTTTTTTTCCCACAAATAGAGCTTTCTTTTGGTGGTATTTGATTGCCTGTGCGCTTTTTTTTTTTTGCGCTATAAAAAATAAAAGACTGACAATTTTGAGAAAAAACAATATTTTTGACTTTTTGCTCTTAAACATGTCCAGTAAAAAATTCAAACAAAATCGAATTTCATTATAAATTTAGGCCAAAATGCATTCTGCTACATGTCTTTGCTGAAAAAAAAACCCAATACATGTAAATGAATTGGTTTATGTGAAATTTATAGTGTTTACAAATGGTGGTATATATACTTGGATTTTTCTTTTTAATTTTTACTAGTCATGGCGGCGATCAGAGATTTAAAACGGGACTGCGGCAGGCATTCTGACACTGGGGGGAACTTACTTGGTGTCACTGGCATCCCCAGTGACACCAATACAGTGATCAGTGCTAAAAAAAAGCACTGACACTGTACTAATGTCACTGGGCAGGAAGAGGTTAACATGTGGGGCGATCAAAGGTTAACTGTGTGCTGTTTTACTGTGGGGCTGTGTGTTTGTGCTTCACTGTAAGCACACTGCTTTGCATGGCTGTGCTATGCGCAGCCATGCAAAGCAGTGTGCAGGAGCTGACAAGGGAGAGAACTGTTTTGTTTACAAACAGTTCTCCCCCCCCCTTTGGAGATGCTCTGCAATCACCAGGCACCTGCGGGTAATCAATGGCTGGGACCCTGTGATTGACAGCTGTGGCTGCAAATGGTGGCGTTGGTAGGGAGCACGCACGCCTTGCATGCGCCCCCTACCCAGAAATGCAAAATCACATATATATGCATGATTTTGCACACCCGTGCCACCCTGTAGCAGTACTTCTGCTATAGGGCAGACGGGAAGCGGTTAAGCACCCCCTCATCAAGCCATGTGCTAGATACACACCGCAGTGGTAAGCCATGTTCCTGCTTCCTCCTCACAAGAGTTTGACATAGTTTGAGAGGTTGCCTGTGTCTTCTGTGAGACCAGGAAGTGGAGGGGCACTGCACCAGCTGGGACAGTGCTGAATCAGTGAGAGGAGCCAAATAAATGTTTAGAGGCATGGGGTGGTTGGGTGAGGGGGGGGGCTTGGACAGGTAATAGAGCAGTTTTGTACTCTAATGCATAGAATGCCTTAAGGTAAAAAACTGTTGGACTTTAGAACCTCTTTAAAGGGATTTTTCTGCTGCTTATTATCCAGAGGTTGCACAATAATGTCTCATCAAGACAGAAACAAAACACACTCTGCACTTCTCTGTTTCTGTCTGTTGAAAGTACCTACATTTTATAGTTTGAAGAGTAACAATTACTTGGCAACAGATTGCTGTCAACTATGTTTGCACTTTTCTCATAAAAATACTTTGTATTACTTTTTAATAAGGGATTGAGTGCCAGATGTTCAAAGTGTTTTGGAGAAAAATACATATGTGTTCTTATGACCAATGGCATTTGAATATGTTATTCATCAAGAAGCCTTCAATAGTGAGTGTTGTGATGACAAAAAAAACATGAATCCATATGACCAACACATTTTGAAATCCTTTCCAAATGTGCAACAAAATGATTTTTTCTTTCCCCAGAGACTAAACACACTAACAACATTGCAGAGCAATGTAATTTATATCCAAAATTAAACCTTACATTGTGGAGCTATGCTATGACCTGAGGAACAGGGTTGGCCCATTTTCATATTGAAATGGTTACATTCTGAGTCAAATTGCAACAGATTGAAAGCTTTATTAGGTGATCAGTGATAAATATTATCAATCAGACAATCATTTTTTGTTAAGTGGCTGTAGGAAAGGTTATTTTCCTATAGCACAATGCACCCGCTCTATCAATTTATTTCTGATAGTGTGTGTATGTATATGTGGTTTTTGTGTGTGTGTGTGTGGAGGGGAGAGTGGGGTACCATAGTCTACTCAGCCAAGGCTTCTGATTTTTAACCAGGCATATCTGTGGTACTTTACTGTGGTGAAACACAAATGTATTTAAAAGCATATACATGCATACTCACAAACCAAAGGGGGATAAAAATAGAGAAGAGTCCCTAATGGCGGTCCAAAGTGACAGTAGACCTTGGTGAGTTAGCCTACCTCACCAAGGCTCTACCATCACTTTGGACCGTCATTACAGACTCTTCTTCTCTGTTTTTATCACCCTTTGGTTTGTGAGTATGCATGTATATGCTTTTAAATAAATTTCTGTTTCACCACGGTAATGCATGAAGAGAGTGCAACCTGTTTTGCTTTTGTTCACCAGTATCAAGATTTCCTGATCTTCTAAGGGCTGCACCTCAACGAATGACAGTTACAGTTATCCTAGTCTGCATGAAGATTTGAGTGCTGGTTTCGTTTTTTATTTCTAGCTGTGGCACATTTTCCTAGTTGCTATTAATCTGATTTGCTGGAAAGAACTGTTATTTGTACCACAAAAATGTGCAGAGCAGGTGTTCTTGACAACATGTCTATTCTTTAGGCTCCTTGCTTCCTCTCAGATGAGCAGAGTTGGATCCTGCTCAGCACTGGGCCATGTGACAAGAGGTTGCTGTCATGTCCGGACAGATTTTTTTCACAAAACGTCTAGATTTGCTAGAAACAATCTAATTGCTATGGCCAACACAGTCTGTTTTGACACTTTGATAAATAATATCTAATGATTACAAAGTTTATCAGCATGAAAGCTTATTAGGAGAATGCATTGTTTTATTTTACATATAATATTTCATAGCTATCATCTAGACACGAACAGGTCTAATCTTATCTAATTGTTGGCAGAATGACTTTGGCGGGCACAGAAGTCTGGTTAACAAATGGACCACATTCCTGAAGGCTAGATTAATTTGCTCTGTTCCCGGTCCTAATGGAATTGATACACATTTTGATGAATTGCGTAAGTATATCAACTTGTACATTGATTTGATGTGTTTTGTACATGTATGGATTGATGAGGCTGTATTTATAGTATTCCATTCTAAGTAAACCACACTTTTGCTTTATGCTGATA